ACAGGCATGCACCACCATGCCCAGCTAATTTTTGTATTTTTAGTAGAGATGGGGTTTCACCTCGTTGACCAGGATGGTCTCGATCTCTTGACCTCGTGATCCACCCGCCTCGGCCTCCCAAAGTGCTGGAATTATAGGCGTGAGCCACTGCGCCCGGCCTAAGGTGGATGATTAAGCAATAAAGTAAGCATAGGGCAAGAAAATTCAAAAAGTAGAGGAAAAGGGTATATTGAAAAGTAAAAGGCACCTGTTTTCTTCTCATTTCTAATGTAATCACTGTTAAATTTTATGTGTATCCATTCAGGCATTATTTTAATGCACAGACCAATATATAGAGAGCCTTTCAAAAACACCATATACAACATCACCCATGATGTGTTCTAATCTAAAATGTGTAACACAAATCATCAAGACTTTAGGTGTAACTTCCAGTTTATAAGAAATGTCAAGGAGAGAGAAATAAGCTAAATAACACAACCAGGGAAGTTCAGATGATTATACATTCTGTAGGATAACTGATATGCTTAATAAGTCAGGGTCATTAAAAAGGAACCAAGTCAGAGTAAAACAGACTGAGACCATGCCCTCTTGTTTACATCCTTGGCATTCAGCATAGTGCCTGGCACACAGGAATCACTCAAATGCCTTCTGAGAGAATAAACAATCTCTAGGCTCCTACACCACCAAAAAATACTTGCCTTAAAGAGACTGTGGTCAAGCATGGTGGTGTGTACCTGTAATCCTTGCTACTCAGGAGGCTGAGACAGGAGAATCACTTGAACTTGAGAGGCAGAGGTTGCAGTGAACTGAGATTGTGCCACTGCACTCCAGCCTGGGCGACAGAGCGAAACTGTCTCAAAAAAAGAAAAAAAAGAGAGACGTCTGGACAACTAAAGAAGGAAGGACCAGGGGCTGGGTGCAGTGGGTTCACGCCTGTAACCCCAGCACTTTGGGAGGCCAAGGTGGGTGGATCATGAGGTCAGGGGTTCAAGACAGGCCTGAACAAGATGGTGAAACCCCATCTCTACTAAAAATACAAAAATTAGCCAGGTGTGGTGGTAGGCACCTGTAATCCCAGCTACTTGGGAGGTTGGGGCAGAGAACTGCTTGAACTTGGGAGGTGGAGGTTGCAGTGAGCCGAGATGTCGCCACTGCACTCTCTAGCCTGGGTGACAGAGCAAGACTCCATCTCAAAAAAAAAAGCACCAGGATATATGGGTGTGTTTAACCAAACTGCAGAAATTCTTATTCATTAGTTTATGTGAGCATCTCTCAATGAAATTAATAATACAAGTAATGTCATACATGGGCTTGCTGGTAGAGATATAATCTTTTTGCCTCTACCTTCAAATACAACCCAAATTGAACTGGTCTTCACTACCAGCCTAATCTACACCCCCGTCACCCCTTACTTAGACTATGACTATGGTAATGTTGTTTCTCTGCTTCTTTTCTTGAAGCCCTACACTCAATTTTCCAGATAGCTGCTAGAGCAATCCCTTTAAAACATAAATCCCATCATTTCCCTGCTCCAACTTCCAAAGTGTCCCTGACTTTCAAGTCCTTGCCACAGTCTCTGGTGACCTCCCAACTCACTCGCCTTCTACTGCTCATTCCTTTGCTCACTCAATCCAACCACATGAGGCTTACTATTCCTTAATCATGCTGATGTCTCCAGCTTCAGGCCTCTATCCTTGTTCCTTCCACCAAGAACACTCTTTCTCTACATGCTGCCTGGGCTTACGCCCACACTGCGCTTGGGTCTACTGAAAATTCCACCCCCTCAGTGAGGCCTTTCCTGACAACCGCCTCTTAAATAGCACCCCCACTACTCTCTCTCTCAGCCCCCTACCCTGCTTTTCTTGTTTAAACACATGTACACAGGGTGCATTTGTTTATCTGTTACTGTCTCCTCCAATATAATGTAAGTTCCATCAAAGCAGGAACTTTGTTTTCCCCTGGACCCAGAGCAGTAGATGCATATAGCAGGAACTCCATCTATAGAATGAATGAAGGAAGGAATAACATGAAGAGACTGAATGAATAGAATGAGCTGAGATAGTGGTTTGAAGAAAAATTTCCTGTATATCTTCAACTGCTCATAATACACCTTAATTCATATAAAACAAATAGAAACAAACTGTAAACACCAACACCTACACTATACCTAACACATGTATGTATGAAGCAGAACCACTTCTTCATGAACTCTCAGAGGTATGAGACCAGATTTAAAAAAAAAAAAAAAAAAAACCAAACAGCTCAGAGATTTTCAGTTAATACTGGGGAGGAGAACCCATTATCCTTATGGACAGAAGCTACCAAAAGACACTGTGGAGTTCTTCCTGGCCAATGCCTCACAAAGGTCATCTGGTACTTCCTCTGTTCCAAAACCACCACTGACCTCTTCCCAGTATTCCTTAAAAAAATTTTGTTTTGTTTTTAAGAGACAAGGTCTTAGTCTGTGACCCAGGTGGAAGTGCGATGATACAATCACAATTCACTATAGCCTCACCCTCCTGGACTCAAGCCCTCCTCCCATCTCAGTCTCTCAAGGTACTGGGATTACAGGTATGACCCACCATGCAGCCCCCAACATTCATCTTTTACCCATTACAAGCTCATGCCTGCAATCCCAGCACTTTGGGAGGCTGAGGCAGGTGAATCACTTGAGACCAGGAGTTCGAGACTGGCATGGTCAACATGGCAAAACCCCATCTCTACTAAAAATACAAAAAATTAGCTGGGCATGATGGCAGGTGCCTAGCTATTTGGGAGGCTGAGGTAGGAGAACTGCTTGAACCTGGGAGGCTAAGGTTGCAGTGAGCCAAGATCTCGCCATTGCACTCCAGCCTGGACAACAGAGCAAGACTTTGTCTCAAAAAAAAAAAAAAGGCACACAACTACTAGGCTGTCAATTTCTGGCAGGTAAGATCTGAATCTTCTAACCTGCTGTGTGAATATAAACATGCAAAGAGGCACTAAAAAATCATTTACTTAAAATATACACACACACACACACAAATTTTTTCTTCCCTTTCCTTTACTGAGAAAAGCAAATATTATTTACTGAGTGAACTGTGTAAATTTTCCTTCAGTCTTAAGATTCTTCACAACTCTGTGTCTAACACTTCTCTGACAAAATAGGAAATAAAAGTAATTATTTGGATAAATAAGGTCAACTAGGTAATAGGCCCTTTTTTTGTTTAAATTACTTCAATAATTGTTGCATTTTTTGCTTACTCTGTCAAATGTGTATCTGACCAAAAGGTAGATCATTTATCAAAATAAAGATGTGCAATTAATTACCTAAACAATAGTTGCATTAAGAAAATAAGATGCGCCAGGCACTTTGGCTCACGCCTGTCATCCCAGCACTTTGGGAGGTCAAGTTAGGCAGATCACAAGGTCAGGAGATTGAGACCATCCTGGCCAACACAGTGAAACCCTGTCTCCACTAAAATACAAAAATTAGATCGACATGGTGGTGCATGCCTGTAATCCAAGTTATTCGGGAGGCTGAGGCAAGAGAATCAATTGAACCCAGGAAGTGGAGGTCACAGTGAGCCAAGATAGCTCCATTGCACTGCAGCCTGGGCAATAAGAGGGAAACTCCAACTCAAAAAAAAAAAAAAAAAAAGAAAGAAAAAAGAAAAATAAGATAAACATATCAAAAATGCAGTCCTATAAGATTAATAATAGCTCTTAATTTTAAACATATTTATCAAAATTGAATATTTTCTTCTTAAAAAAATTAGTATCTTTTACTCGAAATAAGAGCATCAATTCAACTAAACTAAAAACTTCTAGATATCATCTGTCACAAATCCACATTTGTTTCTGAAATCTTACTGTGTAAACCAGGAAGAAACTAAAATCAGTCACAAAGAATGCACTTGACAAGAAAGATTTGTGTGTTTAACCCTTGGATTTGACTAAGCTACTCTTCTGATTAAGCAATTTGAATTTTGACCTATTAATATTTTCCACATATATTTCATTACTTTCAACAATCTTGAGGAAATTTAACAAAAATTATTTATTTATTCATTTATTTTTTGAGACAAAGTCTTGTTCTGTCGCCAGGCTGGAGTGCAGCAGTGTGATCTCAGCTCACTGCAACCTCTGCCTCCTGGGTTCAAGTGATTCTCCTGCCTCAGCCTCCTGAGTAGCTGGGACTATAGGCGTGGGCCACCACACTCAGCTAATTTTTGTATTTTTAGTAGAGATGGGGTTTCACTATGTTGGCCAGGATGGTCTTGATCTCCTGACCTTGTGATCCACCTGCCTTGGCCTCCCAAAGTGCTGGGATTACAGGTGTGAGTCACTGTACCCAGCCAATAAAAATAATTTAATAAGGCCAGGCATGGTGGCTCATGCCTGTAATCCCAGCACTTTGGGAAGCCAAGGTGGGTGGGCTATTTGAGGTCAGGAGTTTGAGATCAACCTGGCCAACGTGGTGAAACCTCCATCTCTGATAAAAATACAAAAATTAGACTGGTGTGGAGGTGCACACCAGCAGTCCCAGCTACTCGGGAGGCTGAGGCAGGAAAATTACTTTAACCCAGGAAGCAGATGTTGTACTGAGCTGAGATCAGACCACTGTACTCTAGTCTGGGTGACAGAGCAAGAACTGTCTCAAAAAGAAAGAAAGAAAAGGAAAAAAATATAATAATTTAATAAAATAAAGGGTCTCAAACATCAAGTCCAACTTGATTGGGCATTTTGCCATTAGATAAAAAAATAGATAATGCTTTTTCATATTCATGTGTCTTCTGGAGTGGCAAAGCAAGTTCACCTTCTTTTGATTCAGAGGAGATTGTACAGAGATGTGACTACACGAAGCCCTTGCTGTACTCACTTGTGACTATAAACACAAGGTGAAAGATACAGTGGTTACTTAACAAAATAAACAGTTTAAATCTTAAGTGGTCTTTGACTTAACAGCCAATCAATAATGTGAGTAAAGGATTAACACAAAGTGCAAAAACACCACAAACCTTTTGATTTCTTTACATCAGGTTCAGGCTCAGATTCTCGAATGAATTGCCCCAAGTCACTGACTCTTCCAAATGTCATCTTCCTAAATAGGGATGAACAAAACAGTATAACTTCTAACAATCAGTTTTAAATTTAGGAGAAAAATACCTTTTTTTTTTTTTAAATAGAGAAGGGGTTTCACCATATTGGTCAAGCTGGTCTTGAACTCCTGACCTTGTGATCTGCCTGCCTCGGCTTCCCAAAGTGCTGGGATTACATGCGTGAGCCACTGTGCCCAGTGGAAAAAAATCAATTTTTAAGCATTTTATCTAAATCTAGAAAGCAGAAACACAATTTATAGCCATGCTATGTAATTCAAAATAGGACTTATTTGAAATCAAATGTTGATGCACAGAAAGCGAGATAATCTTTAATTGAATACAATTTGATTTGAAATCCCCAAAAGGTTTACAAAACATGGTGAGTTAACAGGCAATTCATAATTCTAAAATTGACAGAGAAGAAAGAAGGCACAAGAATAACCAAGACAATTTTGTAAAAGCAGCAGCAAAAAGGTAGGCCTTCCTCTAACAATGTACTATAAAACAAAGTTAAAAAGCAAAAAATGGCCGGGCATGGTGGCTCATGCCTGTAATCCCAGTACTTTCAGAGGACAAGACAGGGGGATCACTTGGGGCCAGGACTTTGAGACCAGCCTGGCCAATATGGTGAAAGTCTGTTTCTAATAAAAAAAAAAAAATACAAAAATTAGCCAGGGGTGATGGCATGCACCTGTAATCTTAGCTACTTGGAAGGCTGAGGCAGGAGAATCGCTTGAACCAGGGAAGTGGAGGTTGCAGTGAGCTGAGAGCTGAGATCATGGCACTACACTTTAGCCTGGGCGACAGAGCAATACTTTGTCTCAAAAAAAAAAAAAGCAAAAAACACAGTAAGGGTCTTATTTTTAAGATATTACCAACCAAAGATTAGTATCCAGAAACAGACAGAATTCCTTTTCAATAATGAGGGTCATGCAAAAGAAACGTCCAGAAGTTTAACAAGTCACTAATAAAAATCACCCAACAGAAACATGTGAAAAGGAGATGAATAGTCAATTCATAGAAGAAAAAACCTTAACAATCAAGAGATATACCAAAAGAAACCCAATCTCTTTAGCAAAAAACCGAAGACTGGAAAAAAATTAAAATTCTGAAGTATTCATTTTTTTGAGATGGAGTCTCGCTCTGTCACCAGTGTTATATTGTTTGTTGAGAGGTGATGGCAAGGAACATCAAGCCATCCCCAGGCAGGAAACTGCTAGAATAAGCAAGCAGTATGTACGGGTCATGCACTAGTTAAACCAGCTCCTAAAACACAGGATATTTGAACTTGTCCCCATTGCTGACTTGCGGAGTGTTTTTTTAGCTTTTTTCTATTTTAGTAGTGAACAGGCACTATCTGCCTGTGTAGTCTATCTTTATTCTATGAAGAAACACTGAGCACCTGCTTATTAAAAATAATCACTTGTGGCCGGGCACTGTGGCTCACGCCTGTAATCCTAGCACTTTGGAAGGCCGAGGTGGGTGGATCACCTGAGGTTAGTTCAAAACCAGCCTGGCCATCATGGTGAACCCCATCTTAAAAAAAAAAAAAAAGAAAAAAAAATAATCACTTGTTCACAAGAATAAATATGTGGCTCAGAGTCTGCTCTGGGCTGTCAGCTGGGAAATGCTGGCAGACCCCTGATGATCCCACTCTGATCCCACTTTTACACCCTATCTTTGTTTCTGTTTCTTAATTCCTTCAGTGCTGCCTGGGTTGGGGTCTCTACGACTGAGCTGGTTGTGGCAAAACTTAACTATGAATTTAATTTTTCATGAGAATAATGTCACGTGCAGTGGCTCATGCCTGTAATACCAGCACTTTGGGAGGCTGAGGAAGGTGGATCACTTGAGGTCAAGAATAATGCGTTTGTCAAGTTGGTTAAAAGAAAAATTCTGTGACATCAACAATCAGTTTATTTCATGCAAAGTAGATCTTATTTTAGAGATATCCTTAATAAGTTATTTCAGATATGAGTACCAATATATGAACTGATAGAAATTTATTTGCCCTGAAAAATTTTCAGGAAGATGCTAAAATCATATAACTAAAACAAATGCTAAAAACTATCTTTTTTTTTTTTTGACAGAGTCTTGTTCTGTCGCCAGGCACCAGGCTGGAGTTCAGTGGCGCAATCTCGGCTCACTGCAATCTCCGCCTCCTGGGTTCAAGCAATTCTCCTGCCTCAGTCTCCCTAGTAGCTGGGACTACAGGCGCACGCCACCATACCCAGCTAATTTTTGTATTTTTTAGTAGAGACGGGGTTTCACGATGTTGCCCAGGATGCTCTCGATCTCTTGACCTCGTGATCTGTCTGCCTCAGTCTCCCAAAGTGCTGGGATTACAGGCGTGAGCCACTGTACCTGGCCTAAAAACCATCTTTATTTATTTTTAGTAAAGATGGGGTTTCACCATGTTGGCCAGGCTAGTTTTGAACTCCTGACCCTAAGTGATCCGCCTGCCTTGGCCTCCCAAAGTGCTGGCATTACAAATGTGAGCCACCACGTCTGGCAAAGATCATCTTTAAAGATGAAGAAAAATTACCATTTCTCTTTTCTGCTTCATTTTATACATTAAAAAAATACATATATATTTACATTACACACACAAAATTACAGAAGTAAAACATTGCACAATTAATAGACTTTATGTAAGGTCTTAAATAAATGAACCACTCCTTAAAATAAACATCATCTTTGGGAATGAACTCATTTAGGTTTACTGTCCATTATTTTCTAAAAGAAGAAATAAAGATCACTATACAAATCTGACACAGCTGAAAAAGCTGGCTTTTGAAAGACAGTGTGGTCAAACAAATCTTTTATTTCCTTCAAGTACTTTCCAGACTCCTCAGTCTCCCAAAACCACTGTTACTTTCTACTGAAAGCAATTAAATACGCTGAACTCCCTTTTCATGGTACTGCTGGGAACTGGGGTATGGATTAGGGAAGGGTAATCAAGCCTTTACACACGTTTACATGTTCAGCAAGCCATCTTTAGGGAAGAGAAAGTGATTTTATGATTAGATCTGTGGTAAGTTTCAGTAAGTAGAATATCCTACGAATCACTATCTTTTTATTACAGGCTAAAATGAACAACCAAGTTAATTTTTAAACTCAAAGGAATAATTTTTCCAAGTATCAGTTATGCTGCCCACAGTAAATGATGCTAGCATCTTTTTATTTTATAATTCTAATTTTACAGATGAAAAAATTGAGATACCAAGAGGTTAAGCAGCTTGCCGATAAATGGCAGAGCAAAGATTAAAACCCAGGAAGTTACTCCAGAGACTTTACACTTAACCATCACATTATAATGCATACTCTAAGTGAAAGTTCTGGGCATATAATAGATTAGAAAAAATGCAAAATTTAATTAAAAATTTAAAAAGATGCAAAGCTACTTACAGTTGTAAAAACTCTAGACATGAGCTAGGCTTACCCGGCATATGTCCGTTGATATAAAGATTCTGGATCCAGACTTGCAGCATCCACTATTATCGCTTCATCAAAATTTTTCAGTATTTTAATACTGGCTTTTTTCATGCTGGACTACAATAGAAATTGTAAAATTAGAAGTATTTGAAACAATCAGTCCTGGGCTTGGAATGTGACAGATTTGTACAAATTTGTACAAAATTTTCTTCAGTGTTTGAGACAGAAATAACTTTCACTCTACCTCATCACCACTGAGATGCTTAACAGAAATGACTCTGAAATGTAACCTCACATTATAGCTAAAAGAGGAACACACAATATTAAATAAAATGTACAGGCCGGGCACAGTGACTCAAGCCTGTAATCCCTAGGTTGAAGTGCAATGGCACAATCACAACTCACTGAAGCCTTACTCTACTGGACTCAAGCACTCCTCCCATCTCAGTCTCATAAAGTGCTGGGATTACAGGTATGAGCCACCATGCAGCCCCCAATATTTATCTTTTACCCAATACAAGGATCCCGGCACTTTGGGAGGCTGAGGCAGGTGGATCACTTGAGGCCAGAAGTTTGAGGCCACCATGATCAACAGGGTGAAACCCAGTCTCTACTAAAAATACAAAACTTAGCTGAGCATGGTGGCAGGTGCCTGCAATCCCAGCTACTCAGGAGGCTGAGACATGAGAATCATTTGAGCCCAGGAGGTAGAGGTTGCAGTGAGTCAAGATTACACCACCGCATTCTAGCCTGGGTTACAGAGGAAGACTCTGTCTCAAAAAATAAACAATAAAATAAAATGTATAACATATAAATTTATAAAACATTCTTAATGACCTGAGTTCTAACAAATGTGTGTGCTGTACTTGCAGCATAATTTCCTAAGTGTGAAAGGCTCTCATCCATCCAGAAATATGTATCTTGGGTAGTAAAGTCTTTTTAAAGTATGTTTACAGGATATACAGGAATGTTTTTGATTCTTGGTGATGCTGTATGACAAAAAGAAGCAAAGGAAACCTTTCTAAATTGACTAGCTAGCTAAGTACAGCAAGTTCCCCTCCAGCATTCTACCTCCTACTCTCCACCTCCACAAGAAAAGCCAGAAATGGTACTTTTGTGAAATACAGAGCCATAGGTTGACCTAGAAATTCAGCTTCTAAGATTTCAGTTACAGACAGGCTTATATTGATGGAAAATGACTTATATACAAGATTATTCATTGCAGCATTGTTTAAAATAAAAGACATAAACAAGCTTAATGTCCATTACTAAGTAATAGGTTAACAAAATAAACGAACAGACAATTACAGAACTCTCTATAGTGGGGGTGGCAGGTAGGGAAAGGGACTCTCGTTATGTGTTGAGAAGGAACAATTTCCAAGATACACAGTTAAATAAAAAAGAAAGAGGCACCAGAATAAAGAAGAGGGAATACTTTCCAACAAACTCTTATGAGAACTGTTATTCAGATACCAAAATCTCACTCTTACTTCCTGATTTCAAAACTTATTACAAAGCAATAGCAATCAAGAGAGTATGGTACTGGCATAAAGACAGACATAGATGGATGTATGTCTATCTTCAGAATGGAAGAGAATCAAGAACCCACAGATATATCCTCACATTTATGGTCAATTGATTGCTGATGGAGTATAAATGTTATCTTAAGCATTAAGATACAAAATCTTCAACAAAATGCCAGTAAATGGAATCCAGCAGCATACTGAAAAGATTATACACCATGACCAAGTGAGATTCATCTCAGGCATGGAAGGCTGATTTAACATCTGAAAATCAATTAATATTTCACATCGATAGAATAAAACCCCAAACCCATATGACCATTTACACTGATACAGAAAGAACATGACAATATTCAATGCCCTTTCACAATTTTTAAAAGAAAAACATTAAAAAAATTAGAAATAGTAGGGAAACTCTTCAACCTGAAAAAAGGCATTTATTAAAAACTCACACCTAATATCATATTAAATGATGAAACTGAAAGCTTTCCCTATTAGATCAAAAACAAGACAAAGATTTCTGCTCTTGCCACTTATATTCAACGTTGTATTCTAAGTTCTAGCCAGAAAAATTAAGCAGGAAAAGGAAATGAAAGCCACCCAAAGTGGACAGGAAGAAAGAAAACGATCTCTATTCATAAATAACACAATCTTATATATAGCAAATCCTAAAGAATTCACAAGAAAACTATTAAAGCTAACAATCTAGCAAAGTTGAAATTGCAAGACCAATACGTAAAAATCACTTATATTTCTATGCTCTCTCAATAAACAATCTGCAAATAAAATTAAGAAAACAATTCTATTTATAATGGCATCAAAAAGAATTTAAAACATAGGAATAAATGACCCAAGGAGGTGAAAGGGTTCTACTCTGAAAACTACAAAATTTTGCTGAAATTCAAGAACACATAAATAAAGATTTATCTATGTTCACAAACTAAAATACGATATTGTTAAGACGGCAATACTTTGGCCGGGCACAGTGGTTCACACCTGTAAGTCCAGTACTTTCGGAGGCTGAGGCAGGTGGATCACCTGAGGTCAGGAGTTCAAGACCAGCTAGGTGAACATGGTGAAACCCTGTCTCTACTGAAAATACAAAAAAAATTAGCCAGGCATGGTTGTGGCTGCCTGTAATCCCAGCTACTTGGGAGGCTGAGGCAGGAAGATACTAATAAGAGTGAAAAGACAGGTTGGGTGTGGCTCACACTTGTAATTCCAGCACTCTGGGAGGCTGACATGGGAGAATCACTTTGAGCCTAGAGTTTGAGACCAGCCTGGGCAACACAGTAAAATCCATCTCTACAAACAGAAAGAATTAGCTGAGTGTGATAGTGCATACCTATGACTCCAGCTATTCAGGAAGCTGAAGTGAGAGGATCACTTTGGCCAAGGAAGTTGAGGTGGCAGTCCTGTGATTGTGCCACTGCACTCCAGCCTGGGCAAAAAGTTAAGACCTTATCTCAACAACAACAAAAAAGGTACAGGATAGACAACTCACAGAATGATATCTAGAAATAATGGATTTGATAAGGGACATTTATCTAGACTATATAAAGGACTCCTGAAACTCAATATAAAAAGACCATCTAATTTAAAAATGGGCAAAGGGGCTGAGCAAGGTGGCTCACACCTATAATCCCCCCACTTTGGGAAGCCAAGGCAAGAGGATCACTTGAATCCAGGAGTTTGAGACCAGTCTGGGTAATATGATGAGATCCTGTCTTTTAAAAAAAGAAAACTGGCTGGGCGTGGTAGCTCACGCCTGTAATCCCAGCACTTTGGGAGGCTGAGGTGGACAGATCACTTGAGGTCAGGAGTTCAAGAACAGCCTGGCCAACATGGTGAAACCCTGTTTCTACTAAAAAACACAAAAAAATTAGCCAGGCATGGTGGCAGGTGCCTGCAGTCCCAACTACTCAGGAGGCTAAGACAGGAGAATTGCTTGAACTTGGGAGGTGGAGGTTGCAATGAGCTGAGATTGTGACGCTGTACTCCAGCCTGGGCAATAGAGCAAGACTCATCTCAAAAAAAAAAAAAAGAAAAGAGAAGAAAGAAAGACCTATATCCAGAGAAAAACCTGTACTCAAATGGTCACAGCAGCATTATTGATAATGGCAGAAAGGAAGGTACAATTCAAATGTCCATCAACTGTAAACAAAATGTCATATATCCTTGCAATGGGATATTTGGCCATAATGAGGAATAAAGTTCTGATACATGCTAAACATAAATAACATGATGCTATTTTGAATACACGATGCTAAGTGAAAGAGAGTCAGCAACAAAAGACCACACAATATATGGTTCCATTTTTATGAAATGTTCAGAATCAGCAAATTTATTGTCTCTATAGAGATAAAAAAGTAGACTAGTGGTTGCCTAGGGCTGGTAGAGTGAAGGATTTGGAGTTTAAGTAAATGGGGTTTCCATCTGGAGTGGAAAAAATGTTTTAAAATCAATGTGGTGAGGTTGGGTATGGTGGTTCATGCCTGTAATCCTAGCACTTTTGGGCCAAGATGGGCAGATCACCTGAGGTTGAGAGTTCGAGACCAGTCTGACCAACATGGAGAAACCCCGTCTCTATTAAAAATACAAAAATTAGCCCGGCTGTAATCAGACATAATGGTGCATGTCTGTAATCCTAGCTACTAGGGAGGCTGAGACAGGATAATTGCTTGAATCTGGGAGGCGGAGGTTGCGGTGAGCCGAAAACGTGCCATTGCATTCCAGCCTGGGCAAACAGAACGAAACTCTGCCCCCCCACCCCCCCAAAAAAAGGTCTCAAAATGCCCCCCCCAAAAAAACCAATGGTGATAGTTACATAACTGTGACCATATAAAAACCATTGAACTGTACAATGTAAATGTGAATTAGCACAATAAAGCTGTACAAAAAAAGAATATACAGGATGGTTTTATTTATAAAATGACAAGAACAGGTAATACTAATCTATGCCATCAAAAGTCAGGATAGCAGCTGCCAAGAGGGCTTCTAAAGGGTCTGATAATGCTGTTTTTGATCTGAATGCTGGGTCACATGGATTTGTTCTACCTGTGAAAATTCTTCAAGTTGTATAAGGTTATGATATGTGCAGTTTTCTATATGTATTAGTATACATCAACAAAAGACACAAAAATATATTTTATGGTTAGCACCTAGACCTTCTTTAAGTGCCTAAATAAAAACAAGATATTTAGCCTATATCAAAAAACCAAAGTGGCAACCACACTCAGCAGGTTATCTCCTAAGGTAAACTTAACAGGATAAAGAGATACTCAGGAGAGCTTTGTTAATGACAATACAATAATACTCTTATTAATCAGAAAAATTTATCCAAGGCCCAGTACTGAAACTTCAAAGGGTTATTTATCAATAGGAATTAAAAAATTATTATGCTTCAGCTAAAACCAGGTTCTAATGCTTTTAATTTTTAAGTTTTTTTTTTTTTGAGACGGAGTTTCGCTCTTGTTACCCAGGCTGGAGTGCAATGGCGTGATCTCGGCTCACCGCAACCTCCGCCTCCTGGGTTCAGGCAATTCTCCTGTCTCAGCCTCCTGAGTAGCTGAGATTACAGGCACGCATCACCATGCCCAGCTAATTTTTTGTATTTTTAGTAGAGACGGGATTTCACCATGTTGACCAGGATGGTCTCGATCTCTTGACCTCGTGATCCACCCGCCTTGGCCTCCCAAAGTGCTGGGATTACAGGCTTGAGCCACCGCGCCCGGCAATTTTTAAGTTTTAAATTACATATATATATATATATATATATACACATAAAGAAAATTATTATGCTATATTAAGTTTATGGTAAAGAACACTGGAAGGGGAGTATTTCTGGCTCTGTCATTTATTGTGTGACTTTAATAAAATCAGTTAACTTCTTTATGCTTCCAAAGATTTCTTGTCTTAGGATATTCTACTTTGTGTGATTTTGAGGAGAATCTGGTATGGTTTAATATATGAAAGCACTCCAAAAAACCCAAAAAAGGTTAAGGGAATATACAATGTGGCACCATAATTCAAAACGAAATCAAAAGGCCTTGAGTGAAACACATTATAGGTGGTGGTTCATGCCTGTAATCCGGCACTTTGAGAGGCCAAGGTGGGAGGACTGCTTGAGGCCAGGAGTTTGCGACTACCCTGGCTAACACAGCAAGACCCTGTCTCTCTCTCTCTCTCTCTTTTTTTTTTTAAAGATGGGGTTTCACCATGATGGCCAAGCTGGTCTTGAACTCCTGACCTCAGATGATTCACTCACCTCAGCCTCCCAAAGTGCTAGGACTACAGGCATGAGCCACTGCACCTGGCCAAGACCCTGTCTCTTTACAAAAAAGAGAGAGAGAGAGAGAGAGAGAGGGAGAGAGAGAGGGAGAGAGAGAGAGAGAGAGAGAGAGAGAGAGAGGGAGGGAGGGAGGGAGGGAGGGAGGGAGAGAGAGAGAGAGAGAGAGAGAGAGAGAGAGAGAGAGAGAGAGAGAGAAATCTAGCTAGGCAGAGGCAGGCGACATTTGAGGCCAGGGGTTCAAGACCAGCCTGAGTAACACAGCGAGACCCCGTCACTATGAAGAAAAAAATTTCGAATTAGCCAGTCATGGTGGCACATGCCTCTAGTCCCAGCTACTCAGGAGGTTGAGGTGGGTGGATTATTTGAGCCCAGAATTTCCAGGCTGCAATGAGGAGACCCTGTCTCAAAAAACAGAAAAGAAAAAAAAGAAGACCTAAGAGTTCACTCAATTATTTTATAAAAACATCCTAGGCTGGGTGCAGTGGCTCACGCCTGTAATCCCCGCACTCTGGGAGGCTGAGGTGGGCCGATCACGAAGTTAAGAGCCCAAGACCAGCCTGGCCAACATAGTGAAACCCGCCTCTACTAGCCAGGTGTGGTGGCACATGCCTGAACTCCTAGCTACTCGGGAGGCTGAGGCACGGGAATTACTTGAACCTGAGAGGCAGAGGTTGCAGTGAGCAGAGACTGCCATTACACTCCAGCCTGGGTGACATAGTGAGACTCTGTCTCCAAAAAAAAAAAAAAGTATCCTAAATAATTACATAAAGAGCTCTTCAGAGGCTATAAATATATTCCAGCATTATTTGGTTTATTAAGAGAAACAGCCAGAGATTCAAACAGAATGGCCTGAATGAAACAGCATGATACCTTACAATACAGTATATTGTAAGTCACCACAAATATGTTGATTAGAATACAGGAAGTAGGCTAATTTTATTTCTCCTTTTTTTTTTTGAGACGGAGTTTCACTCTGTCACCCAGGCTGCAGTGCAGTGGCTCAATCTCTACATACTGCAACTTCTGCCTCCTGGGTTCAAGCGACTCTCCTGCCTCAGCCTCCCAAGTAGCTGGGATTACAGGCACCTGCCACCATGCCAGGCTAATTTCTGTACTTTTAGTAGAGACAGGTTTCACCATTTCAGCCAGCCTGGCCTCAAATTCCTGACCTTAAATGATTTGCCCACCACAGCCTCCAAAAGTGCTGGGATTATAGGCATGAGTCACCATGCCCAGCTTTTATTTCTCTTTTGTTCCTACAACTTAAAATTTATAAAGAGGATCTGTTACTGGGGTTTGAAGAAAAAGATGTGTATGCTTTTCTTCCTAATGGCAGATGCAATCAGTCAATACCTGAGATGCAGAGCTGTCAGAACCCCCTGGGTGAGACTCATCAGGAGGGCCAACAGAGCCAGGAGCAGTCAGCGACACGTTCCCGCCCAGAAATTCATCTCCTCGAACCGAATGGATGAGATCATTCAAATATTTATAATAAAGATTGCTGGACAAAAAGCCAGGCAAAAAGACCTGATAGAGAGGAAAAGCATTGTTTTTAAAGTTGAAATCAAATCCAACTAAAATTATTTTAAATAAAAAAAGTTTATAATTCTACTGGTGATAACTGTTAACTACCTATAACAAATGTTTGTACTTCTTACTGTACTGCAGGTACTATTCTTTTGTACAGTTTACAAATTAAAATTACAATGCATGAGGCTGAGGCAGGCGAATTGCTTGAACTTGGGAGGCGGAGGTTGCTGTGAGCCGAGATTGTGCCACTACACTCCAGCCTGGATGACGGAACAAGACAATGTCTCCAAAATAAAAAATACCAAATTACAATGCAAATAATTTTCTTGGGCTTTCTCCCCAAAACATTTGTCATGAAAGTATTACATAAACTTGATATTAATACTTTTCAGCAAAAAATAGTCCATAGGATATAATTTGAAACTAGATTTTTCTGGTTTATGATAAATATTAAAGTTTTTGTGCATATATGCATTTTTACTTTTAAACTGATTTCCTAAAGATAACTAAGCAGGACCAGGAGTGTAACTGCTGAGTTAAATTTTAACTTTGATATATATGGTCAGTTTACCCTTCAAAAGAATATTATCAATTTGAATCGCTAGCAGTATGTCAAAATATCACATAGGTTTTCTTACACTGAGTTGTTTCTTTTTTCAAGTAATTATTAAATAAATGCCTATTTGTACATCAATGTTTTTATTTGCCTTTAATAACTGTTAATTATGCTGAATGAGTTCTCATGCTTATATTATCTGCATTTCTAGTGCTATGAAGAAGTCTGTAATAGGACATGCAAATAACAAACATGAGAACTTATTCAGTATAATTTGTAATTATTCATGTTCGTATTTTATATGTGCCTTTTTGTTTTTTTTTTTTTTGTTTTTTTTTTTGCGACAGAGTTTCCTTCTTGTCGCCCAGGCTGGAATGCAGTGGTGCGATCTTGGCTCACTGCAACCTCCACCTCGCAGGGTCAAGTGATTCTTCTGCCTCAGCCTCCTGAGTAGCTGGGATTACAGGTGCCTGCCACCATATCCAGTTAATTTTTGTATTTTTAGTAGAGACAGGATTTCGCCATTTTGGCTACACTGGTCTTGAACTCCTGACCTCAGGTGATCCACCCACCTCGGCCTCCAAAAGTGCTGAGATTACAGGCATGAACCACCATGCCTGGCCAACGCTTTATCATTAATAAGCTATTAGTGATACCTAGTGATTGTAATACCCAAAACTTGTGTTCCAATCCTGTTGACAGATAGGTGAAATATTCGGATCATTCCTAAGCTAAGTTTACCCTATACTGCCTTCATTTATTTTTGGAGACATGGTTCACTGCAGCCTTAAACTCCATGGCTCAAGCAATCCTCCAGCCTCAGCCTCCTGAGGAGCTGGAACTATAGGTAAGTGCAACTACGCCCAGCTAATTTTTGGTACTGCTTTTTAATTATTTAAAAATATGTAATAATAATAATAGTAGTAAGAGTCGTTAACATTTTTTGATGCTTACCATGTGTTAGGTACTATGTTAATATGTATTTTATACACATTATCTTATTTTAATCCTCAAAGGGACTTTGAGGTAAACATGCATATTATCCTCATTTTACAGATGAGGAAAATGGCATTAGAGAACCTCAGTTACTGGTCAGGCACGGTGGCTCACGTCTGTAATCCTAGCACTTCTGGAGGCCAAGCAGGTATATCACTTAAGGTCAGGAGTTTGAGACCAGCCTGGCCAACTTGGTGAAACCCTGTCTCTACTAAAATACAAAAATTAGCCAGGCGTGGTGGTACCTGCCTGTAATCCCAGCTACTTGGGAGGCTGAGGCAGGAGAATCGCCTGAGCCTGGGGGGCAGAAGTTGTAGTAAGCCAAGATTGTACCACTGTACTCCAGCCTGGACAACAGAGTGAGGCTCCGTCTCAAAAAATAAATAAAAAATAAAAAAATTTCAGTTAGGCTGTTTGTCATTGTGCTAACATCACTGAGTGTACTTATACAAACCTAGATGATATGGCCTACTACCCCTTGGCTACATGGCACAACCTATGGATCTTGGGCTACAAACCTGAATCACATGTTACTCTAGTGAATACTGTAGGCTACTATTACATTGGTAAGAATTTGTGTATTTCAACACAAACACAGAAAAGACACAGTAAAAATACAGTATAAAAGATAAAAAATGGTACAGCTGTATAAATGGGCATTTACCATGAACAGAGAGCTTGCTGCTCTGGGCAAATCTGTGAGTGAATGGTGAGTGAATGTGAAGGCCTAGGACATTCCCATACACTGCTGTAGACTTACACTGTACACTTAGGCCACACTAAATTTATTTAAAATTTCTTTTCTTTAGGCCCGGCGTGGTGGTTCACGCCTGTAATCCCAGCACTCTGGGAGGCTGAGGTGGGCAGATTACGAGGCCAGGAAATTGACACCATCCTGACCAACATGGTGAAACCCTGTTTCTACTAAAATACAAAAAATTAGCCGAGCATGGTGGCATGGGCCTGTAGTTCCAGCTACTTGGAAGGTGGAGGCAGGGGAATTGCTTGAACCCAGGTGGCAGAGGTTGCAGTGAGCCAAGATCATGCTACTGCACTCCGGCTGGGCTACAGAGCAAAACTCTGTCTCAAAAAAAAAAACAACTGTTTTTCTTTAATAAGAAATTAACTTACAGGGTTGGGCGCAGTGGCTCACACCTGTAATCCCAGCATTTTGGGAGGCTGAGGCGGGTGGATCACCTGAGGTCAGGAGTTCGAGACCAGACTGACCAATATGGTGAAACCCCGTCTCTTTAAAAAAAAGTTTTAAAAAAAAGAAATTAACTTACTGTAATTTTTTTTAACTTTATAAGCTTCACTTTTTTAACTTTTTCACCCTATTGTCATAATAGCTTAAAACACAAACATATACAGCTGTACAAAAATATTTTCTTTATATTCTTTTTTTTTTTTTTTTTGACACGGAGTTTCGTGCTTGTTACCCAGGCTGGCGTGCAGTGGCGCAATCTCAGCTCACCGCAACCTCCGCCTCCTGGGTTCAGGCAATTCTCCTGCCTCAGTCTCCTGAGTAGCTGAGATTACAGGCATGCACCACCATGTCCAGCTAATTTTTTGTATTTTTAGTAGAGACGGGATTTCACCATGTTGACCAGGATGGTCTCGATCTCTTGATGTCGTGATCCACCCGCCTTGGCCTCCCAAAGTGCTGGGATTACAGGCTTGAGCCACCGCGCCCGGCCTTATTTTCTTTTTATTCTTATTTAATAAGCTTTTTTCTAACTTTTTTTTTCTTTCTAAATGTGTTTGTTAAAAACTAAGACAAACACATACATTAGCCTAAGCCTACACAGGGTCAGGATAATCAATATCCCTTTTCTCCACCTCCGTATCTTGTCCCACTGGTAGGTCTTCAGAGGCTGAACACACATGGAGCTGTCATCTTGTTTGATAACATGCCTCCTTCTGGAAACCTTCTGAAGGACCTATCCAGAGCTGTTTTTACAGTTAACTTAAAAAAAAAAAAGTAGAAGGAACACTCTAAAATGATTAAAAGTATATACAGTAAATATGAGACAACAGAGATTTTTCAGCTCCATTATAATTTTTTGTTTTGTTATTACCTTTTTAGTTTTTCTTTTTGCCTTATTAAAATGTATTTTTTCTTTAACTTTTGTTATTGTTGCACTTCCAGCTTTGATCCATTATAATCGTATAGGATCATTATACATGCAGTCCATTATAGACTAAAATATTATGTGGCACATGATTGTACATATCAGGCCAGACTCAAGGTCTCTGCTCTTAATCACTGTGCTGTACTGCTTCCCTTTCCACCATGCTATTCTGCTTGGTTTTCCCACCTTATATTTTATGAGTTCTACCAATAAAATATCTTATAGTTTAATACTTCTGAAATTCTTGGTTACCTTCTCCATGGTTGTCCAGGCCTGACGTAATGGAGTTGTGAAACAGTTGGGGAGTGGCCCACCTTCTCTGCAGATATTGGATTCAATTTCTAATCGTACAACATCATCAAATCCAAGAGGGTGTGTGGCTTGGAGGGAGAAGTACCTATGGCAAAAAGATATCCAAAGTGAAACCAAATTCCATGCAAGTATAAGCAACTTTTTGCACCTCCTCCAGAGAATCTTATCTGAGGCTACTTGATTCAGCCTGCAGACCTAGAACCATAGCGCTATGTGATCAGAGTGCTGATGTAACCTTTCCTTATTCCCACTTCCCCAGAGATACTTGGGTCAACTTGCTACCTTCTATCTGCCTGCCAACCATCCTTAGTTCTTGACGGTGAACTCTACTGTTGTTTAAAGGCTATAAGGATCAGGCTACAAATGAGGCAAAGAAACAGACATCTATTTATGGGCACCTATTCTCTGTTCAGGACTTGATAGATAAAAATGAATTTACAGGAAAGGAAGACATGGTCATTTCCCCTGAAAAGCAAGCTGAGAAGATGTGTGCACAGAATAAAGTAAGAACACATCATCATAACTACAAGGCATCAGCAGTAAACATGTACAAATTCAAAACAAAATGGCACTGAGGGTGAGCTGGATGGATATGATATATTTGGACAGAACAGGACTTACTGATGACTTGGTGTGGAAAGGAAAGGGAGTAACTAATATTGATAACACAAAGAGTTCTACCTTGATGGGATATAATGCAACTAATGTTTTGGTAAGCTGATTATGAATGAATACCAAAAAAAGCATTAAATGAGAGGAAAAAGCTCTCTTCCAAGCACTCTAATGGCTTCTATCTCCTATCCCCTGACAGAAATATAAAGGTTGATGATGCATGATTATGATGATGCATATATATGACACAAAAACAAACAAACAGGCAGGGCACAGTGGCTCATGCCTGTAATCCCAGCATTTTGGGAGGCTGAGGTGGGCAGATCACCTGAGGTCAGGAGTTCAAAACCAGCCTGGCCAACATGGTGTAACCCCATCTCTACTAAAAACTACAAAAAATTAGCTAAGTGTGGTGGTACACATCTGTAGTCCCACCTACTTGGGAGGCTGAGGCAGAAGAATCGCTTGAACCTGAGAGAAGGAAGTTGCAGCGCGCGGAGATCAAGCCACTGCACTTCAGCCTGGGTAACTGAACAAGACTTCGTCTCAAAAAAATAAAAAAAGTCTGCTCATGATGGTTCATGCCTGTAACCCCAGCACTTTGGGAGGCCCAGGCTGGTGGATGACCTGAGGTCAAGGGTTTAAGACCAGCCTGGCCAACATGGTGAAACCATGTCTCTATTAAAACTATAAAAATTAGCCAGGTATGATGGTGCAGGACTGTAGCCCCAGCTACTTGGGAGGCTGAGGTGGGAGGATCACTTGAGCCTGGGAGGCAGAGGTTGCAGCGAACTGAGATTGTGCCATTGCACTCTAGCCTGGATGAGAGAGTGAGATCCTGTCTGGAAAAAAACAAAAACAAAAACAACAAGGGATTTGTAAAGTCAAATTTGGCACAATGAACTTGGCAAAACAGTAGTGCCAGTGGGATGGAATATAGAAATCTTCATTTAAAAATGCCTCCCCATGTGAAAATGGGATCCAGTGGGAAAAGAGTCTCTACTGTGTGTGGTTACTGAGCTCCAGCTAGAATCTTACTAGTGCCACTCTTCTGTTCTAGTGTAAAGACAACTACCCAGGGTGGGAATGGTGGCTCATGCCTGCAACCCCAGCACTTTGGGAGGCCAAGGCAGGCCATCATTTGATGTCAGGAGTTCAAGACCAGCCTGGCCAACGTGGTGAAACCCCTGCCTCTACTAAAAATACAAATATTAGCTGGGCACAGTAGCTCGCACTTGTAATCCCAGCTACTCGGGGAGCTAAGGCAGGAGAATTGCTTGAGGCTAGGAAGTGGAGCTTGCAGTGAGCTCAAATCACACCACTGTGCTCCAGCATGGGCAAAAGAGCGAGTCTCTCTCTCAAAAAACAAATAAATACAATTAAGAAAAAGAGAAAACTCTCTTTTTAAATCAGCATTTTGTAACAAAATATGAATCTCCTATGTTGTACTGGGTAAGCTGGTAAATACTCCTCCATGATTTGAATTTTTAGGTACTTTAGACCAAATTTCTAAATGTAAATTCTTCCTATTTCAACATCTATATAACAATGCTTCTTACATAATTCCTTTCACAAATATATTATACCAGAATAAACACTGGACAGAAGATTAAGAACTGCATTCCAGTCCAAGTTCTGCCACTAACTTGTCCCGTGACTTTGAGAAAATCGTTATCTCTCTGGGCCTTATTTTCCTTACTTGCAAAATGGGAAAATCAGACTACATCCCTAATCTGGGATTTTTAGAAGGCATACCAGATAAGCCCTATCAGAATTATCTGGAATGTCTTCTAAAAATAAAGATTCCTGGTCACACATCAAATCTGCAGAATCAGAATCTCTGAGAGGGGAGAAGTGGAAATCTTTTTTTTTTTTTTTTGAGATGCAGTCTCCCTCTGTCACCCAGCCTCAAGTGCAGTGGCACAATCTTGGCTCACTGCAACCTCTGCCTCCCAGGATCAAGCAATTCTCCTGCCTTAGCCCCCCTAGTAGCTGGGATTACAGGCGCCCGCCATAATGCCCAGCTAATTTTTGTAGTTTTTAGTAGAGACGAGATTCAATATGTTGGTCAGGCTGATCTCGAACCTCTGACTTCAAGTGATCCGCCCACCCTGGCCTCCCAAAGTGCTGGGATTACAGGTGTGAACCACCATGCCCAGACTGAAAACCTACTTTTAACAAGCTCCCACGTGATTCATATGCAGACAGCCCAGCAAGGGCGTGCAGACCAATGTTCAAGAACCACTGGCCTAGATGCTGTTGGCTTTCTTTAAATCCTAACATTTATGGACTTTTCTCTACCCACAAGGTACCGCTTTAGCATTTGCTTAAGGATACAAATGATAAATTACTTTTTTTTTTGAGACAGGATCACACTCTGTCACCCAGACTGGAGTACAGTGGTGCAATCATGGCTCACTGCAGACTTGACATTCCAAGGCTCAGGTGATCCTCCTGCCTCAGGCCTCTAAGTAGCTTGGACAACAGGTGCATGCCAACACGCCTGGCTAATTTTTTTTTAATCTTTAGTAGAGGTGGGGTTTTCCCATGTTGTCCAGGCTGGTTTCGAATTCCTGGGCTAAAGTGATCCACCCGCCTCTATCTCTCAAAGTGCTGGGATTACAGTCGTGAGCCACCATGCCTGACCACAAATTCCTTTTTTTTCTTTAGATGGAATTTCGCTCTTGTTGCCCAGGCTGGAGTGCAATGGCGCTATGTTGGCTCACCACAACCCCCACCTCCTGGGTTTAAGCAATTCTCCTGCCTCAGTCTCCCGAGTAGCTGAGATTACAGCCATGTACCACCATGCCTGGCTAACCTTTTGTATTTTTCAGAGATGAGGTTTCTCCATGTTGGTCAGGCTGGTCTTGAACTTCTGACCTCAGGTGATCTGCACACCCCAGCCTCCCAAAGTGCTGGGATTACAGGCAAGAGCCACCACGCCTGGCCCCACAAATGACTTTTACAGAGTCAGAAAAGTTAAATGAAAAGAATACCATATATTACAGAGCTGTCTACAAGCTCATCATTTGCCTGACCAGATATTTTCAATTTTGGTCACTCTAAGATTTTTTTCATCCTCTCATTTTCAGTGAAAACAAATAAAAAACTAATTAATTTAATAACACGACTGAGCAAATTTGTACAGAAACTATAACATACCCACAAATAGGCATTCAAGGTCCTTTACAATCTATTCCAATTAGTATCAGCATCCTCATATTTATTCGTCACCTCTTGGATTATTCAAACTCAAGTTTCTTGAAAGTGCCACCTTCTCCTAACTTTCCACGGCTTTTGTGTCAGTGCCTTTGCCTAGAATGTTGTTTCCTGCCTGCTCTGGGTAACAAAATTCAATTCATTCTTTAGGATCCAAACAAAATCTCTCTTCTGGGAAACAATCCCCGAACACCACCATTGCCATCCTGTTTACCCCACATACAACTTCCCTTTCCCAGCAGAAACTTTTGTTCTAAGAACCCCCAAAGCTTTACAAACACCACAGAAAAAGCAGCTTTTATGCTGCCTCCTGTGAGCTCCTGGGCAGCAGAGACTGAGTTTATTCATCTTTATTTCCACAGAACAAATCAAATGCTCAGTAAGTATCTGCATGGATCTATCAATATAACTCACTTGTCATATAAAATCATGGCATCATTCTGTGCCTCCTGTCCATCGTATTGGCCCTTTTTGGCAGCAAGCTGAGACTGGAAGTTATCTGCTGCCAACCAGAATTGTAAGATATTCACTGCATCCTCTTTTTCCATGTACTAGGAAGTAAAAATACAAAAGGGAAAATAAGACTATAACCAGCTTTCTCTCACCATCTCTAATCCAGAAGCTCAAATATTAAAATACAGGTCATAAGCAAAAAACAAAAAGATGTACTTCTTCAGTTAACACCCAGCAGCAAGTTACAGTCATTTGAGATTGAAAAGTTTTAAAGTATTCTTTTAGAGACGAAAAAAATTAACAAGAAACAAACACTACACAGCTGGATGCAAACTTTTAGTGAACTAGAGTAAAACTTATACTAAATTTAATTTGTAGTTCCTCACCAGCAAACACAGAAAGAGTAAACTAACCAAACCAAATGTTTGCACCTGATCATTTTCGCCATTCCATGAGGACATATTAACCTAAACAAACTGCTGATTTAATTTATGGCAAAGAAAGGGAGTGAAAAAACAAATCAACTGAGTACCCGTATTCTTGTAAAGAGGCAGAATCCAGTGTCTAAATTACTGCCTCATGAAATTGAGAATCCTCTTTCTACTTAATAATCATTTGCTTTCCAACAAAATAATTTCACTTGCTGAAGCCTAACAAATAGCATTATACGAAAGTGTATGCCTCAAAGAGATTAATATACTCATTGTCTGTGGCAAATGCTTCTTCACTGGGCAATCCTATCAAGAGGCTAAAGTAAAAATGATGAGAGCAAGAAAAAATTTACTACTTTTCTTTTTCTCTTCTGAAGTCTGGTCTGCAATTTATGCACTGGAAGCAAGTTTCAAAGTCTGTTGTTTAAAAATAGCTCCAAATAATTAAAAACATGCATTCTCTTATATACGGTAGTTTAATTAGATTTTTCAAAATTAGTTATTTAATACACTGAATTTTCATGTTCTCTCTAATATATTATTCAATTACTCTTGCCATTAGAAACAGCTTGAAACAATGATAAATCTTTTTGGAAATGACTTGTCTCAGGGCCCCAGCATTTATAGTTAGAGGCTGGAATGCTCGAATAGAGTGTGAAAGGAAATGCAGACTTTACCTCAGAGAAATAAAAGAGGGCTGACTCACAGAAGAGAATGTCAGCCAGGTAAACAGTTCCACTGGTCAGCACTTCAATCTGGTATTTACAGAAATGGTGACTTCGCAGAAACTCACTAAAGTGCCTGCACATAAACAAAAGGGAAAATTTGAGGGAACGACCAAGGAAAGAACTTAAGTGGGAAAAATACTCTTTCCACACTGTCCCTATTGCATCTTAAAGGCCTAGGTCAACACTACCTCACTTCCCCGATGGTGTCATTCCTGATTCCTTTACCTGTACGTAATCTCTGCCGCCTTTTTATGACTTTGTAGTTCTCCCCTGACACTTAACACATGCCACTTCATATTACAGTAACCAAAGAACATGCCTTATGTCTTTTATTAGGCTGTAGCTTCAAGGCAGGTACTATACCTAACCAAGTCTTACACAGAGCACTCTTTTGATAAATGTTAAGTAAAAGAATGAATACACAGATTTTTTTTGACAGCACACAGCAGTAATAAATCTAAAAAACCTCTGGAGGCATTTCAACAAATCTATGTGGATTTAGTTATATGGTATCCATTTAGCTTGAAGCCTGAACTAACAAATTAGGAGAGTCATCTGAAGACATGTATTATTTAAATAAATAAACCAATTCTAATAGTCATAATCACTACAAGCTTAATCACCCCCCAAATGATTTTAAAACTAAAAACAAATTCTTTTAACTTAGGAAATATTAACACTGAAAATGAAAATTAAGAGTTCACATAACTTATATTTAAAAGAAACTATTAACCAAGATAGAGTATGCTTGATATGATCTTGTAAATATTCAAAATACTTTAATCCTCAAAAATACTTTGTTTTTAAGCTGAGTGAAGCCCATTCCTAACAATGGACCCAAATTCCCTAGGATACATAATGTGAAAATACAAACTAACTTACTCTTGTTCCATTGCACTAAAGACTATGGACTGTGCCAAAACGAAACAGTTGGGATCTACCTGTCCATCTTCTCCACAAATCTTTGCTGTAAAAGAAGTAATAAATAATTAAATTTCCACTAAATTCAAACTATATACATTTGTGAGTCAAACTGGAAGTTAACAACAAAGGTATATAAACTAAAGGTTTTAAATAGAACTAAAAGAAAATACAGGCAACACTTGATCTTGAAGTAGAAAGTCTTTTGAAGTTCATATGCAAAAGTAGAAATCAAAACATTTAATGCAATTTAATTCCTATACATTGAAACACTCCAAAAACAAAATATAAAGGCAAACAGAAAAAAGATTTGTAGCATGCATCACAGCTAAAAGATTACTATGATTAAAACATCAAGAGCTCTCACAAACTAGTAAGAAATGTCCCAAAAGAAAAATGATCAGAGGACATGACAGACAATCCACAAAGGAACAAACATAAAATGACCAACGTGAAAAGATATCACATTCCTAGTAATCAAATAAAATGATCAGAATAAGGAGGCACTACACCTTTTATCTAGTAAATTGATACACTGCTTTTAACAATATGCATACTTGAGCAAGGGCACAGGAAAACTGACACTAGTGTTAGTGGGGCTATAAACACCTTTTTCTGAGGGCAATTTGGCAGTTTCTAGCATAGGTTTAAAAATGAACATACCTAGGCCAGGTGCAGTGGCTCACCCCTGTAATCCCAGTGCTTTGGGAGGCTGAGAATGGTGGTTCACGAGGTCAGGAGTTTGAGATCAGCCTAGCCAACATGGTGAAACCCTGTCTCTACTAAAAATACAAAAAATTAGCTGGGTGTGGTGGCAGGCACCTGTAATCCCAGCTACTTGGGAGGCTGAGGCAGGAGAATCACTTGAACCCAGGAGGTGGAGGTTGCAATGAGCCAAGTTTGTGCCACTGCTTTCCAGCCTGGGAAACAGAGCGAGACTCTGTCTCAAAACAAACAAACAAATAAACAAACAAAAAAATGAACACACTCTTTCAACAAGTAATTCTATTTCTAGAATTGTAACTTAAAAAGTTACGGATTTGTGAAGTTATCTGTAAAAAAGTTTATCAAAATGTTACTGGTGGAAATTTTAAAACATGAAATGTGCTAAAATAAGGAACTGACTAAATAAACTGCAGTACATCAATAAGCTGTTTAGCTAGTGGTTAAACATGGCTGGAAAAACCACATACTACGATGCTTAGTCTCACTCTGTGTTCAAGACTCAGTGGGGCCTTCATGAAACCCAGGGATCATACTAGTTTCCTGGTCTGTTTACACTCACTTTCTTAGACAATACAAAACCTGTGATATTGCAAAATATGTATTTTATTTTTACGTATTTTTTTCCTTTCCTTTTGAGACAGGGTCTCACTCTGTTGCCCAAGCTGGAGTCTGTGGCATGATCATGGCTCACTGCTACCTTGAACTCACGGGTGATCCTCAGCCTTCTGGGTGGCTGGACTACAGACAAGTGCTACCACACCTGGCCAATTTTTAAATTATTTTGTAAAGGGGGTCTCATTATGTTGACCAGGCTGGTTTTGATATCATGGCCTCAAATGATCCTCCTACCTCAGCCTCCCAAAGTGCTGGGATTACAGGCCTGAGCCTTTAGCTAGTTTCTTAGCATATAGCTCCTAAAATTCATGGAATCTGCGGATTCTTTTGTATGCTAATGATATAACTTGTGGTAGGTGGCCTCTAAAGAGCTTTAGGATGAGGGCTAATCACAAAGACCAAGGCAAATTACAGGGTTGGGACTTTCAGTTCAATTATCAATCATGCCTACATAATGAAGTCTCCAGAAAAAACCCAAAGACAGAATGGGGAGGGGTCTTCTGAATAGCTAAATCTGCAGAGGTTTCTGGAGGGTGTCATGATCTGGAGAGGGCATGGACACTGCCCCTTCCCATACCTTGCCTATGCATCTCTTCCATCTGCCTGTTCAATCTGTATCTTTTGTAATATCCTTTATAATAAATGGGTAAATTTAAGTAAAGCATTTTTCTGAGTTCTGACAGGTACTATAGCAAATTTATTGAACCCAAGGAAGGGATTGTGGGAACCCCACTTTACAGGTCAGTCAGAAGCACAGGCCACAACTTGTGCTCGAGACTGGCATCTGAAGAGGGAGCAATGTGGGACAGAGTCCTCAACCTGTGGGATCTAATGCTATCTTCAGTAGACAGTGTGAGAACTGAATTGACTTAGAGGACACCCAATTGGTGTTCACTGAAGAATCATCTGCAGAATTGGTAGGTGATGGGGAAAAAACCCCAGACAACTAGGGTCACAGAAGGGTTACGTTTTGTGAGAGCTCAGAAAAAGAAACTAAGGTTTTTTTTTAATTTTTTCTACAGTACATCTCCTTTATCAAATGTCCAACACCTCTTCTCCTATTCTATTGCTGAGGACTTTGCTTCCTGCTTCAGTGAGAAAACAGAAGCATCAGAAAAGTATTTCCATCATCTCCCACATCTTCCCACTCACCTGCGTCTCCACCCATGTTCTGCATTCTTTCCTAGGACTCTAGTAAACTGTCCTTGCCCCCATTTAAGCAATTTTCTACCTGAGCACTTGAATTCATTCTCTTTTGCCTCAAGACTTCTCTAACAACTGTCCCCTCTCCTGCATCAACTTCATCACTACTGCCTCATTCCTATCAGCTGTGTGGACTGCATGCAGTACATGTATACCTGCTTGCATGCTGTAACATACCTTATGTGCTTATCACACAACTCATCTTAAAAACAAAATTAAGAACCATTGTCCCTTTTTTTTGGAGACAGGATCTGGCTCTGCCACACAGGCTTTGCAGTGGCATGACCTTAGTTCACTGCAGCCTCGACCTCCTGGGACTCAAGCGATTCTGCCACCTCATCCTTCCTAATAGCTGAGACAATAGGTGGGCTCCACCATGCCTGGCAAATTTTTGTATTATTATTATTATTATTTTTGTTAGAGATGGGGTTTCACCATGTTGCTCAGGCTGGTATCAAACTCCTGGGCTCAAGTGATCCACATGCCTGGCCTGCCAAAGTGCTGGGATTATAGGTGTGCACCACTGTGCCTGGGCCGCTGTGATTAACATCGCCTTCCAGCTCATCTTTGGAGCAACATGCCTCATAAGAGTCGTCAATACTTGCTGGTTCTGCTCCTCCTATTCTTACTACTATCCTATTAAGACTCCTCCAATTCAGTTTTGTATATAATGGCCCACTATAATTAAGATAACCAGTGCACAATGGGTTGCCGAATCCATTCAATTCCTAGTGTTCCTCTTACTTACCTCAGCGGTCATTTCCTCCCAGAAACATTTTTCTTACCTGGTGTCCTGAAGAAAACTACTTCTTGATACACCATTGTCGTAAGAGGGCCTAAGTCTCCTTTGCTAGTTCTTCCTCATCTGCCGGAACGTTAAGGCACGCCCCAGGACTCAGTCCTTAGACCTCATTCTCCCTCTGACACTCACTCCTATGGTAATGTTATCTAGCCTTGCAGCTAGATAATGTTTCCAGCTCTAAATCCATCTATATGCTAATGACTTCCAAATATGTGTCTCCAACCCGGACCTCCGTCATAAAATCCTAATGTAGGTGTCCAATTGCCTACTTGACATTCACCATTGGGATATCTAAATCAAACTCCTGATTTTCCTCATAAGCCATTACCCCCCAGTCTTTCTCATCTTATAAATGATAACCCCATAATTCCAGGTATTCAGTGTTTTTAAAAATGGGGTCATATAGCCAGGTGTCATGGCTCATGCCTGTAATCCCAACACTTTGGGAGGCTGAGGCAGGTGGATCACGAGGTCAGGAGATCAAGAGACCAGCCTGGCCAACACGGTAAAACCCTATTTCTACTAAAATACACACACAAAAAATTAGCTGGGCATGGTGGTACACGCCTATAGTCCCAGCTACTTGGGAGGCTGAGGCACAGGAATCGCTTGGACCTAGGAGGCAGAGGTTGCAGTGAGTCAAGATGGCACCAATGCACTCCAACCTGGGTGACAGAGAGAGACTCTGTCTCAAAAAGAAAAAAAACAAAACTGAGAGTCATGCTTTATTCCCTTTTCCCCCTCATACCACTTACTTCCAAACCATTAGCAAATTCTGTCAGCTGTACCTTCAAAGTGTTTTAAAATTCTACTACTTTAAAGATTTGTGAACGATGAAGGAGGTAATCAAAGTACAGATTTTGGATCACTCTAAATCCTCACATAAAGACAGTAATTACATAGCAATGCCAAAAACCTAAGGGTAACTTTTTTTTTTTTTGAGATAGACTCTGTCACCAGGTGGAGTGCAGTGGCATGATCTCAGCTCACTGTCAGCTCACTGTAACCTCTGCCTCCTCGGTTCAAGCAGTTCTCCTTGCCTCAGCCTCCAGAGTAGGTGGGACTACAGATGCTCACCACCACGCCCAGCTAATTTTTATATTTTAGTAGAGACGGGATTTCACTATGTTGGCCAGGATGGTCTCAATCTCATCACCTCAGGATCCATCCGCCTCGGCCTCCCAAAGTGCTGGGATCACAAGTGAGAGCCACCGTGCCTGGCCTAAGGGTAACATTTAAAACAAGACTACTGGCCAGGTGTGGTGGCTCACGCCTGTAATCCAAGCACTTTGGAGGCCAAGGCAGGCGGATGACCTGAGGTCGGGAGTTCAAGCCCAGCCTGGCCAACATGGTGAAACCCCGTCTTTAAAAATAAATAAATAAATACATACATACATAATGGGGGGGAAAAAAAAGACTATGCAAGTTGGAACACAATAAGAGCTAAAGTGAAGGCTCCTTTGAACAAACTCACTTGAAGTACAGCAATTTTAAAATAGTCCAACTGTAAGAGACAAGAAATAATTTGGACAGGATTAAGAATGAGGCTCAAGGAGGAAAAATGATGTGCCTAAAGCCATATAAGTAATTAACATTCTAAAATATATACTGATAGACACTGGGATAGAGGTTTCATCAAATCCCTTGATTAAAAATGGTATCAATTTGATCCTTCAAAAGACTTCCTTTGATTCCTGAAATCCTTGCTCATGTAGGAAAAAAATGAAGAAAAAAAAAGAACAAAAGACTTATCCTTCATGGGATTACATCATTAATTTAAGTTTAAGTAAAGAGACTGCAGTGTGGTTTCATTTTTAAGTGTTTTATTTGACTCGAAACTCCTTCCTTTTCATCCCCACATCAGTCAGGTTATTAACTGGTACAGACTCCCCTCAACAAAATCACTAGCCAACCAATTTCTCAAATGGCAAAGTCTAATGAGTCAGAACATCCTTAGTTGTATTACTAGGAAAAGCTGGTCTAGGGAGGATGACAGCAGCAAATTCCCACATAAAAATAGACCAACAATAGAAAACCCCAATCTCATGATGATATCCGTCAGCAATACTCAGTGAAACAGTATCTCTAAAATACAAGCAGATAGGTATAAGTCACCACCAGCCACAGAACCTATGTTATAACTGTTACAGGTATCTGTCTGAAAGAAAGAAAAGGAAAATGGAGACAACATGAGATAGACCCCAGAATAACTAACTGGAAGGTATAATGGGCCAATTTAAGAACCACAGCTGAGACTACCAGGGCTCTTGCTGTCTCCAGCAATGAGTGAGTGCAAAGTACCCACAGTAAGGACTGAAGAAGCCCCACATCGGGACAGATCTGCTACAGGTGCAAGAACATGTTTTATTTAATAAATCACAAGTACTAATTTTTCTGAAGAATAAAAATACAAAATCATAGGACTTATGAGAATGTAATATTTATTGAATAAATATTCAATAAACACATTTATTTACTGAATATTCAATAAATAATATATATTCAATAAATGCATTTATGTATTGAGAATGTAGTATTTATTAATTTTATCTATGAATATAAGTTCACCTAAGGTCTTCCTGATAAAACACAGTAAAAGCTTTCAAACTATTTTACTATAACCTATACAGAAATGTATTTGTTGATACATGCATACATGTATATATAATGGAAACATTGTTCTGAAATATTTGTCTTTACTACTCTGAGACACTTTGATTTGTTCTAATTTTTTTTTTTGGCAGTGGCTGAGGGCATAAGAGAAGGCTGGTCCCTACCTACAGTATGAAAACACTGCCAACAACACAGCAGTTAAGGTATGTGAGGATCTAGTTTCAAATCCTGACTCTGCCATATCTGAGCTGTTCCTTTGGACAAAGTACTTAACTTCCCTGTACTTACATTTTTTTCATCTATAGAATAATAACTGTATGTACCCCACAAAGTTCTTTAGAAGTTAAAATGAGTTTATCCACAGAAAGTGCTTGGAATACTGTCTGGGACACAATGAGTGTTCAATAAATGTGTGCTACTTATTGTTCTTGCTGTCATTGCTATTCAGGTCAAAGTCTAAGAATTTGAATCCAACATATAAGAGAGTTTTTTTTAGCAAATTGCCTTTATTAAGAAGAATCAAGTTACATGAAACTGGGAGTGGACATGAGGCTGGCCTCCTCCTTGTACCTCCAGCTATGCCAAATGATGCTGTGCGTCTCACAATCTACTGGCAAAAAATGGTGGGTCACAGGCCACGTGATGGCTCCGGCTAATGCAGGTGGACATCTCGGGTGTCCCAGGGAGGGCAGGCCACTGAGGAGTGGGATGGAGAGGCCAGCATCAAGACACCTGTCTGGCCATCCAGTCGCCCACCTGCCATGAAGACTCTTGGGTTGCAGCCCTGATGCCTGGAGACTTTGGGACTGTCCTTTAGCCTCCTGGGCTTCCAACCCCAAAGTTTCCGTCCCGTCCACTTGGCGCACATAGCCACCTGCCGGGCCAGCTCTTCACTGGTGGCCAGGCTAGAACACCCACTACACTGCAGCCCACCCAGCCCAGGCGAAGACCCTGGCACCAACTGCAGCAGAGAAACTTTTAAAGTGAGTGATAATCCGATATAAAAAATACTCAGAAAACAAATTTGGAAGGGAACTATTAAATTCCATGTTAAGAAAAAATTATCTTAGTCAATAACCAAAATGGTCAGTTTTGTGAATTTTTTCCTGTTTTGTTGTTTTTGCCATAGCTTCAAGCACTGCTTACCTATGATGTCATTTCTCATTGCTTCTGTAATTGGTATTGGTTTAGCAGCATCTGGAGATATATATTTGGTAAAAGTATTCACTGCATCTTGTTCTATACCTGCAAGGGAAGAAGAGAATTTCAAAAATCAAAAAGCAACTTAGATGCCAGTCATGAACTATATTCATGAATAGCAGGGCTTAGATCACTGTGAATTCCTATTGCAAAATGAGCTTCCATCACAAATGTGCTTTTTCATTGTTTGGTTTGTGGAAGAAGAGAGTTATAGGGGGTGTTCAAAGCTATGGAAAATGAATATTGTCAAAAAACTATGCATGAATTTCAAAGTACTTTTACATCAAAATAAACTCATTTTAACCTGTTATAATATATCTGAACAGGATCTACTTTGGGGCACTAAGAAGTAGAAAACATTAGTTTGAAGAGAGCCCTTAATGGAGCAATATGAAGTCTGCTAAAATTGAAGTAAGAATAAACATCAAATTTATGGTGAAGCTTGGGTGAATGAATGATAAAATTATTGATGCCTTACCAAAAGTTTATGGGGATAAAGACCCAAAGAAATAAGCAGTTTACAAACAAACATCATGTTTTAAGAGGGATGAGACATATGAAGTCAGCAGCAGCACACCATCCACATCAATTTATGACTAAAGAAATGGATCTTGTTTGTGTCCTATTTGAAGTGGATCAACAATTAAGAGCAGAAATAGATACCACCACAGACATCTCTACTGGTTCAGTTTACACAATTCTGACTGAAAAATTTAAAGTTGAGCAAATTTCCACTGGATGGGTGCCAAAACCATTGCATCCAGATCAGCTACAGATAAGAGCAGAGCTTTCAATGGAAATTTTAAACAAGTGGGATCAAGATCCTGAAGCATCTCTTTGAAGAATTGTAACAGGAAATGAAACACAGCTCTACCACACAATCCCGAAGACAAAGCACAACCAAAGCAATGGCTACCAAGAGGTGGAAGAGGTCCAGTTATCAAAGCAAAAGTAGACTTGTCAAGAACAATGTCATGGCAACAGATTTTTAGGATGCTCAAGGTATTTTTGCCTGTTGACTTTCTGGAGGGCCAAAGAATGATAAAATATGCTTGTTATGAGAGTGTTTTGAGAAAGGCAGCCAAAGCTTTAGAAAACCCGGAAAAGCTTCAGAGAATCCTCCTCCATCACAGCAAAGCTCCTGCTCATTCTGCTCACCGAACAAAATTTTGCGACAGTTTCAATGGGAAATCATTAGGCTTTATAGTTCTGATTTGTCTTCTGACCTCTTTTTTGTTTCCTAATCTTAAAAAATCTTTAGCCACTGCACTGTTAGCCTTCAAAAAAAGAAAAAAAATCTCTGGCTGGGTATGGTGGCTTATGCTGTAATCCCAGCACTTTCGGAGGCTGAGGCAGGCAGATTACATGAGGTCACGAGTTCAAGACCAGCCTGGCCAACATGGCAGAACCACATCTCTACTAAAAATATAAAAATCAGCCAGGTGTGGTGGCAGGCACCTGTAATCCCAGCTGCTGGGGAGGCTGAGGTAGGAGAATCACTCGAACCCAGGAGCTGGATGTTGCAGTGAGCCAAGCTTGTGCCACTGCACTCCAGCCTGGCAAACAGAGACTCAGTCTCCCCCTAAAAAATATCTTTATAGTGCACCCATTTTTCTTCAGCTAATAATGTAAAAGACTGCATTCATGAGGTCAGGTGTTCAAGACCATCCTGGCCAACATGGTAAAACCCCATCTCTACTAAAAATACAAAAATTAGCTGTTCGGGAAGCTGAGGCAGAAGAATTGCTTAAACTAGGGAGTCGGATATTGCACTGAGCTGAGATCACGCCACTGCACTCCAATCTGGCCACAGAGAGACTCTGTCTCAAAAAAAAAAAAAAAAAAAAAAACAAACAAACAAACTACGCTAACATGGTTAAATCCCCAGGAGCCTCAGGCTATTAGAGATAAATGGTTAGTATCATTGCTTTTTAAAGTATCTTGAGGCTGGGGGTGGTGGCTTATGCCTGTAGTTTCAGCATTCTGGGAGACCAAGGAGGGTGGATCGCGAGGTCAGGAAATTGAGACCATCCTGGCTAACACAGAGAAATCCTGTCTTTACTAAAAATACAAAAAATTAGCCGGGCAAGGTAGCACGTGCCTGTAGTCCCAGCTACTCAGGAGGCTGAGGCAGGAGAATTCCTTGGATTCAGGAGGCAGAGGTTGCAGTGAGTCGAGATCACACCACTGCACTCCAGCCTGGGCGACAGAGCAAGACTCCATCTCAAAAAAAAAAAAAAAAAAAAAAAAAAGTACCTTGAACTTGATAGAGCTTACTTACATTGGGAAATAAAATGTATGTTTTAAATTTTTCTTTTAATTCCATCTTTTACAAACATTTTGAAGTCACCTTATATGTGAATTCTCTCCTCCCATTCCTCTTATAAACTAAAAAGCTCCTTAATAACAACTATTTATGTATATTCTGTCTCTTCTCCAAAGTCTCAACTTCAAGAATTTACATAGTAACGTAACAGTAAGAGCTCAAAAATTATTTATTCAAGACAAGCCTGGCCAGCATGGTAAAACCCTGTCTCTATTAAAAATACAAAAATTAGCCGGGCACAGTGGGACATGCTTGTAATCCCACCTAACTGGAAGGCTGAGGTGGGAGGATCACTTGAACCTGGGAGGCTGTGGTTGCAGTGAATTTTATCATTTGGCAACAAATACTGTCGGCCGTTTTCCTTGAAGTGACAAGCTCACTTAATTCATTTTCAAACAAATGTCTGCCAAATACCCAACTCTGAACAACCATGGTTTGTTGATCATCATTCTTTTGAGTAAAAATGGTATTCCAGGCCGGGCACAGTGACTAATGCCCGTAATCCCAGCACTTTGGGAGGCCAAGATGGGTGGATCACGAGGTCAGGAGTTCAAGACCAGCCTGACCAACACGGTGAAACCCCATCTCTACTAAAAATACAAAAATTAGCCAGGCGTGATGGTGTGCGCCTGTAATCCCAGCTACTCAGGAGGCTAAGGCAGGAGATTCGCTTGAACCAGGAAGGTGGAAGTTGCAGTGAGCCAATATGGCGCCACTATACTCTAGCCTGGTGGCAGAGCAAGACTGTCTCAAAAAAAAAAAAAAAAAAAGAAAGGAAAAAAAAACCAACAAAAAGGTATTCCACCAAAAAAGGAGTTACTTGAACTAATAAACACAATCCATTGTACCCAGGCTCATCTTTGGGACAACTATTTTACTGCAGTATGCAGAAGTGCTTTATGTATAATTACTATGTCATCACGCACATTTAAAACCATATTAAAAAGTTTATATTAAATAATTATCTATTGCTCCAAGGACATTCGTAAGCAAAACTGGCATTTATTTTTACTAGGAATATGTGGCAGCAAAGAATACAGTGACTGTAAATATAATTTGATCCAATGCCAGCAAGCTTTTCTCATTGCTTTTGTACCATTGTTCCAAGTGTCAACACAGTGAAAAAAAAGACCCCCTTAGAATCATGATGAGAACAGTTCTGACCTCACAGATGCTCTTCAAATAGTCTCTGGGAACCACATTTCAAGAACTCCTGAGTTAGTGGAATATATTATTATCCCCATTTCTGTAGAAAAGAAAATGTATATTTTCGACTACTGATTATTATGTTTTATGTAAACCCCATAGCAACCACAAAAAAATATATATCTATAGAAGACGCATAAAAAGAAAAAGAAATCAAAGCGTATCACTACTAAAAAGTTAATGAAACACAAAGGGAGATAACAAGAGAGAAAAAGAGAAAAAAGAGCTATAAGAGAAAACAATTAAAATGGCAATGAATCTTACCCTATAAATAATTACTTTAAATGTAATTGGATAAAACTTCCGAATTAAAAGATACAGAGTGGCCAGGCATGGTAGCTCATGCCTAAGTTCTTTGGGAGGCCAAGGCAGGATGATCGAGTGGCCAGGAGTTTAAGACCAGCCTGGGCAACATGGTAAAATCCCATCTCTACCAAAAATAGAAAAATTAGCCAGTGTGGTGGCTCGTGCCTGTAGTCCCAGTTACTCAGGAGGTTGAGGTGGGAGGACTGATTGAGCCCAGGGTGGTCAAAGCAGGTGGCAGTGAACCAGAGCAAGATCCTGTGTCCAAAAAGAAAAGAAAAGAAAAGAAAAAACAATACAGTGACTGAAGGGATAAAAACAAGATACAAATATATGCTCTCTCTGGCTGGGCGCAGTGGCTCATGCCTGTAATCTCAGCACTTTGGGAGGCCAAGGCAGAGGTGAAGAGTTCGAGACCAGCCTGGCAACATGGTGAAACACCATTTCTACTAAAAACACAAAAATTAGCCATGCATGTTGGCAGTCACCTGTAATCCCAGCAACTTGGGAGGCTGAGGGATGAGAATCACTTGAGAATTGTTTGAACTCAGAAGGTGGATGCTGGAGTGAGCAGAGATCATGCTACTGCACTCCAGCCCGGGCGACAGAGCTAAACTCCATCTCAAAAAAACAAAATAAAAAAAATGCATACATGTTATCTCCAAGGGATTAAATCCTTTAGATTTAAGGATACGCACAAGGTGAAAGTAAAGGGATGAAAAAAAAAACCATGTAAATGGTAATCAAAACAGAGCCATACATACATCAAACAAAACTCAAAAAGTAACAAAGAAGGATGTTATAAAATGATAAAAGAGTCAATCCACCAAGAAGATATAAAAGTAAAAATACATATGCACCCAACATCAGAGCACCTAAATTTATAAAGCAAGCATTAACAGAACTGAAAAAATAGATGGGAATACAATAGTAGTAGGAAACTTTTCTATCTCACTTTCATTTTTTTGTTTTTGTTTTTGAGACGGAGTTACCCAGGTTGGAGTGCAGTGGCTTGATCTCGGCTCACTGCAACCTCCGCCTCCTGGGTTCAAGCAATTCTCCTGCCTCAGCCTCCTGAGTATCTGGGATTATAGGTATGGGCCACAGGGCCCAGCTAATTTTAGTAGAGACAGGGTTTCACCATGTTGGTCAGGCTGGTCTCAAACTCCTGACCTTGTGATCTGCCTGCCTCGGCCTCCCAGAGCGCTGG